CCAGAGTGAAGGAGCTGCAGGCTCAAGGCGGCAGCCTGCTCCTCTTTCTTGCCCCAGGTCCCTGCTGCTGCCCCCCGGGCTCACCCCAGCCAAATTCCCCTCCGGTCTCGCTCTGCCCGCTGTGCAGGGTGCCACTGACTGGGCCAGGTGCAGGGCAGCCGTTGAGCAGCACCTGTGCAGAAGGTGCCCTGATGTGGGCAGAGCTGACTGGCCTAGGCTTGTCACCAGTCCAGGTTTCCCCAGCAGTCTCTCTCTCTCTCTCTCTTGAACTAGGGGGCCTGGGAAATCAGCACAGGCTTGCACTGCTAGCTGCCCAGTTGTATGGGCTCAGGAACACCTCGGGGGTCTCCGAACTTTGTATCTCCGATGTAGCAACTCGACTTGGTTCTGTGTCATAATTTGTTCCTGTGCGAAATGTAAAATGCTGCCAAATCAGAACACTGATGAGAATACCTTACATGGCACACTCCTGACCAACAGGGATATGCCAGCTGTTACGCTGGAGGAAGAGGGCTGCTGCCCAGTGGCATATGGTGAGGGGGCGTTAGCTTGTGTCTACACCATGGGGCTATGCTGTCAGAGGCTCACAGTGTAGACATACACTTACTTTTCACAAGTAGAGAAAACTGCACATGGTGAGCAGCTGGGGAGAATCAGGTGTTTTGTTTTCATGCAAGCTTTACCTTCCTTGCACAATTCTGTGGCACGGGCTGAAGGCTCGAACAACCACTGTGGTTGTAAAATTGCGAAACGCAGTCCTTTCCCTTCACTCCCTTGGTTCTTCCCATCCTCCCAATAACACACACTGTAGCTGCAATGGTGGCCATAATCTGGGTTGAAAGCATGCTTTTGTGGTGGTTCTGGAGGTTACCGTCATTCCCTTCAATAAACCAGGGACAGGAAACAGGCCATTTCCAGTGCTAGTTGTACACACAAAGCTCTGAGTGGGGAAATCAGTTTACAGGAAGTTGACAGGACACCAGAGGAAAATGGTGAAGATGTGGGCAGACTAAGAAATAGGGAACTGAATATTGATCTACGCACGCTTTTCGTACCAATACAACTGTTTGGTAAGGGCTATGACTTTTTACCCTAATCCCAGTACACTGCCTAGCATAGAGGCAGTTTTGCCCGTCTAAAGGTGCTTGATACTTGTATGGCTCATTCCCCTTCATGCGCCTTTGTAACTGCAAAAACGACAAGGAGTCCTGTGGCACCTTATAGACTAACAGATTTATTGGAGCAGAAGCTTTTGTGGGCAAAGGCTCACTTTAAAGACTAACAAGATGGTTTATTAGATGATGAGCTTTCGTGGGCCAGACCCACTTCCTCAGATCAAATATACAGGCATATTTGTAACTGCGTTTTCCTGAGGCAGATTGTATTGCTGAACTACACCAGTACGGCGCCTTGGAGCCATTGAGTCTGTATCTGCACAAACAACATGGATCCCTGTGGCACTTAGAGACTAATGGATTTACTAGGGCATCACCTTAGGAAGGCAAAAACCCCTTTGTCAGATGAATTGGGACAGAAAGGGCACGAGGACTAAGAGGGGCTCAAGGTGGGACAGGAGTTTGGGGCTACCTGGGCCACTCCCTGCTGGGGACGCTGAGGTCAGACCCTTTTCCCCCAACAGCAGCATTTCAGTGCAGGGACTGGCGAGAAGGAGTTCCCCTCTGCTGGCTGCTGCAGCTCCACACGGGGGCTGGTGGGGAGGGGGTCAAGCACCCACAGCTGGGTTGTTTGTTTCTATTGGTGGTGCACATTCCCACATGCCTCGGTACACATAACACATTTATTCCGCACATGGATGGAACAGATTAGAGGGAACATTGGGGATAGGCCTGGGACCGGAGGGATAGCTTCTGACCTGCCCTGGGGGTGGAGCCTAGAGGGGCAAAGACCTGCAGCTACCTGGGCAGCTGTAGGGAGCTGCAGATCCTCCATCCGCCCTGCGTGAGGGTGCCTCGAGGTGGAGACTTGGGCCGGGGGCTGCTCTCAGGCCCAGCCACTCCAGGCAGGCAGAGAGTCTGCAGCTCCCTGGACCATTCGTACCTGGGCTGGGCTCCAGCTTCCGGCCTGGTTGGAGGGTGGGCCCTCGGGGGGGAAGAGGAGGGACGGAGGAGGCGAGTGTCTGATGAGACACTGACGATATGTACCCGGAACTCCCTGCTGCTCTGTTTTGGTCCCATCTGACACAGGAGCCAAAGCCAGACTGCCGAGGGGTGACAGGAACGGAGGGACAGCTACCCACCATGCATCACTGGAAAAGTGGAGGGCAGCCACCCCACTGGAGACGTGTCCCAGTGAACTCTTGTGCACAGTGGGGAAGCGCACCTCCGACTTAACAAAAATGGGTGTGAGACAGGGAGTTTGCCCTGCACTGGCCCTTTAAGGGCAAACCCCAGCCTGAAGCAGGGCCAGGGAGGTTAGCCCCAGCTGAGGCTGCATTAGTGGATTAGGGCCCAGCTGGGAGCTATATAAGAGCAGGGGCGGCTGCTCCCAGGGAGGGCAGTGAGAGTCTGGCTGCTGGGGGAGTAGGAGGCTCCCTGGAGCTAGGGCAGGGCTGGGGGAGCCAAGGCAGGGCTAGGGGAGCTCTGGCCAAGCAAACCCCCAGACTGCAGGGCCTGAATAATGGCCTGCTGGTGAAACAACTACCCCTGGAAGGGGGGCTCAGAGACTGACGTGGGCACTGCCGGAGGGCAGTGTGTTGAAGAGGGCGACCCGGCCTGGAGAAGAGGGGAAACACCGCCGGAGGGAAGGTACCCCGCCAGCCGAATAAGCTAATTCCTAGGACAGACGGCCGGGGGTGCTGCAGTGGTGAGTAAACCCCCTCGCAGGGTGCTAAAAATCGGCCTTCACAAATCTGACCTGACCTCGTTGTGTAGACAAGGCCTTGGCGGAGATGCGGTGTAGGGCTGGCCAAAGTGCAAACGGTGCCGTTTATATTAGTTAGAATCCCAGGGCTGGAAGAGACCTCAGGAGTCATCAAGTCCAGCCCCCTGCCCAAGGCAGGACCAACCCAACTAAATCAACCCTGCCAGGGCTTAGTTCCCCAAAGGAAAGAAGCAATGGGGCAGATCCGCGGCTTTGCCCGTATTAATGCCATGCTGCAGGGCCTGTCTCTCGCAACGTGTTTGTACAGAACATAGCACAACTGGGCCCCCATATTAACCAATTAGTGCTACTGCCATCCCAACACGCTTCCTGCTGCATTCATGTCTGGCACGTTGGTTTCAGTTGCCCAGAAAGTCACTAGATGGCACATTAGTTTTGAGCAAAATGCTGCTCATCTGGCAAAGTGGATCCAACTGCTAAGCAAGTGGCGGGTACCTGGAGCAAAGTGTAAAGCTGTCCCGTTCGTAGTCGTCCCAGGTCACACGCTATCTATGGCACTACGTAATGGGAGGCAGATCCATGTCTAGGGACTCTCAGTCTTTATTAGCTTCATGATGATTCTGGGAGCCCAAAGGAAAGCCCATTGAGTGATTTAAGCTGAGATAAAACAGTATTCCTAGACCGCCTGTGCAGAACTACACTGCCCTACTCCTGAGGGCTGAACTAGCAGAGCGAATAGCCAGCCGTGCTGGGACAATTTTTATAGTGGGAGAGCTGAAGGCAGAAACCATGTTCAGGTTGAACCTCTGTGGTCTGGCAACTCCCGTGGGTAGAAGAATGTCTGCTTAGCATGGGTTTGGCCAAGTTTTCCCTCAGTCCCATAAAGTTTGTTTATAGCCGCCAGTCCTGGCTGTCCGTGTTCTGTGCTGTCAGTTAGTGCTAAGTTACCCTGGGGGAGGCTGCGGGGTACACTGCAGAGGGGTTTTGGAAAACCAGCCTTTTTTTCCAAAAAACCTTCACTTATGTCCACACTGCAATCATATTCTTTCAAAAAAAAAAATGGAAAGAACGGAGGGGTTTTTCCGGCATTGGTAAACCTCTTTCTACGAGGAAGAAGCTCTTTCAGAAAAAGGCGCGTGTGGACGGGGAGGAGGGAGTTCTTTCGCAAGGAGAGGAAAGAGGAAAAAGCACAGGTGCCCCTGTGGCCACTCCGCCCATAGTAATCACAGCTGACATGCGAGAGAGCGTCCATTCAGTGTGGACACTATCGAAAAAGCAGGACGCTTTTTCGATGCGCTTTGGCAGTGTGGACGCGCTCTCAGAAGATTTCTGGAAGCGCTTGTCTGGAAAAGCTTCTTCCGAAAGAAGCCTTCAGTCTAGATGTAGCCTAAGAGCCCAGTGAGCGGGGGCAGTGTTGGTAATGCTGCTAGGCAGTACTGCCCTCCGGTGGTTCAATACATTCTCTGGTTTGGCACCGGTCAGGTCCCAGAGGTGCTGGACAAGAGAGGTTCAGCCTGTATTTGGCCTGTTATTGCTACTGCGAAATGGAGCTAGGCTACTGAACATAGCGAGTGATAAATAGCATTCCTGGGCCAGAGTCAGACAGG